TTCACTGAGGATCCGCCATATTGAACGGACAAAATGGTTTGCTAGGTGCTGTGATTTGAATATTTGTCTCTTCCCCAGTTGACATTGAAATTCAGTAGCTATTTTAATGTTATGGCTGGGTAGGACCTTTCAGAGGTTATTCAGGCACGAGGGCTGCACCTTCTCCGTGAGATTAAAGGGGCAATTAGCACCCCTCTGTCTGTCTCTTTGCTTCTCCCTTCTGCCGTGGTGGAGAAGATGGCTCCCTCAGCAGATGGCTGACTTTGAAGCCTCCAGAACTGTGAGACACAGATCACCCAGCCTGCAGCGTTTTGTTACAGCAGCAACTATGGACTAACACAGTGGGTGAAGCATAACTAGGACAGCAGCCAGGATTGCAAGAAACATGGGCCCCTGGGTCCAGTGAAAACAGGCTGTGTTTTAGAGCCCAGCATGGCTCTGCTGCCCCTGTCCCTTACAGGCTACCGTGTTATTTTCCCTACTGAGACCATTGTGTCACTATTTTAAAGGGGGATACTAACTGTTAGGATTTCAAGAACCATGCAGACCTCTCTGTCATGTCTGAGTTCTGCACAGACGGGGAGTGATGTGATCAAATCAGCAGCTTTATTACTGGCACCAGGAGGGAGGGCTTAAACCCATGATAAATGGTCGCATTAATGTCCTGCTCTGGGTCAGAGGAATGAGGATAGTGGAAATACACCTCTCTCCCAACCTCCTACAGGGCTCTAGGATGGAATGGTTCTGTTTATGCAGGTAATCAGCAAGTCTCCCAGAGTTTGAGCACCGTACAAGTCAGCTGAAATGAGCATACTGATTGTGTACTGCAGGACAGTCAGGGTCAGAATGGACATCCTTCCCAGGAAGTGTCTGCCATGTTCTCACATGTTCTTCTGTCCCTTAATCATGGATTCTTGGACATAAGAAAGGAAAAGGTGCTCGTAATGCTGGGTGTAACAAATGCTATGTGTGTACAGCAAAGGCTTAGGAAATGCCCCTTAGGAAAAAATTGGTTCCTAAAATGAGTGCCAGCATAAACCTTTCTGAGCTATATTTTTGGGGCTTAACATTCACTGTCTGGTTTCTTTTTGTGAACAGTAAGAAAAGAGACCCAGAGGGAGATGATGTCCTCTAAAGGGTCGGTCACATGTCATGTAAGAGACTCATTTTGCCTACTTGGACAAGTTTATGAACTTGGCTATTTTTATTACCATCTATATATTCTCTTACAAAGATGAGCCAGAAAACTTTTAAAATGGAAAGAACTTGTGTGCCTATTTGCTAACACAATAAAGAAAAAAAAATCAGTGGCGTGATTATTATTACCAGGTTGGTAGGGGACCCAACAGGGAAAAACAAGTTATAGCTCCCTGCAGGCTGTGACTCATACAAAAAAAATAAGAGAGGTAAGAACAGAGTGGTAGAGATGGTGCTGGGAAGGGTGTAGGAATTCAGTCCAGGACAGAGAAATTATTGCACATTGTTAATGAGTAAGAGACATATGTGTGGTAAATTAAGGCTTGGAACAGTAAAGAATTATTTTTAAAAATTTCTAATTTAAAAATAAAACTAGCAACTCTTTTTAGAAAGTTATCCTAAGGTTTGCCAACTTGAATATGATTTTTGGATCAAGTAAATTCATTCATGTGAAAATTAATATAAATTGTAGATATCTGAAAGTAAATAGGATTGAGAGTCTTTTGACTCCTTTGCATATTAGTTCTTCCTAAATCATCTGATTGCTGGTATTTTACTTGTAATGTGGAACTAAAAAAAGGAAAAAAAAGCCCCATTTTTCCCAGAGTTTAGACTCCACTGAAACTTGTGGGTCAAACATTTTACCAAAATATAAGCCTTTTAGTGATTAAACTACTTTGCTCTTTTCAAACCGTAACATCCTATTTATAAAAAAGACATAAAAAGTGATCTTGAGCATGAACTAGCTCTCCCAAAGTCAACATCATGGTGAATTTATGTGTTAAGTGAGTCACAACTATTTGGATGAAGATTTTCTGTATTTGAAAGAGAAAGTACTTGGGAGAAAATGTCATTTTGGTTACTTTGAAATGGAAACATTTCAAAAATGGAATTTGCGGGGCTGGGGATTTAGCTCAGCGGCAAAAGCGCCTGCCTGGCAAGCGCAAGGTCGTGAGTTTGGTTCCCGGTACCGGAGAAAAACCAAAACCAAAACAAAAACAAAAACAAAAAAAAAAAAATGGAATTTGCTGTTGAGCCTAACATGTAACAGGTCTCCACCCACATTTCTCTAGATAGTTCTGTGCATTTGTAGAGCGATATCCCCCATGGGCTGGGTTTCAAAGAACCCAGCTAAACGAAATGTGTTCAGCCTCTATATTATGGTTTGTGTCTTGATGTCCCCCCAAAACTTTGTGCAGTCATAGGGCCTTTTTAGAGGTTTCTTAATCTAGAGTATGTGATGCTGGGATTAAGGGTGTGTGATTACTCAGTCAGTCCACTGATTAGCTTGACACCACCCTAATCCCAGCAATTGGAATTAGATCAAAGAGGCAAAAAGATGCAGTTAAACCCTTTCATTGTTTTTGCTGTCTTCCACAGCCATGGAGGGTTGCTTATCTGCCATGTCACCTTGCCTTGGAGCCACCTGGTTATGGACTGAAACCTCTATATACTGTGAGCTAAATAAACCTTTCCTGCTTTAACTTTGGGAGTTTGGTATTTTGTCTCAGCGGTGATAGAAAAGTAACTAAGATACTCCATGATGCTTCCTAAAATTATCTTTAAAATAAAATACCATACCAAATAAAAATTTTAACAATGCTTTGAAGGTAATATTATTCCATTTGCAGAGTGTGTTCCTAAAATTAGTATTTGTTCCAAAAGAAAGTGGAGGCTGTGGCTATTCATGTGACTTCCCTGACAGAAAAGTATTTCCTCTTCTTGAATATCTGAAAGTATCACTTTGGGTAGCTCAAAGTCTCATTATCTCTAGTGATGTCATACTCAATATTTTGTATTTGAACTTAACATATGCTTGCAGGTTGTTCTTCTGAATACATGAGTTGGGTGTTAGTGAACCGGATGAACCCAGGCATGACCCCTGTTTAAGGACCCCCGTCTCTGGGCTGTTGATTCTAAAATCCTATCTCTTGCTCTGTCCTGCTTGGCAGGGTCTTGCTGGGTGTCTCCACTTCTTTCTCCCTCAAGCACTTCAAACGTTTCGTGGTTCCCTGCCCTGTTCAGTTACTGTGTCAGTGAGAGTCTGTGCTCCTCAGAGAACATTTCTTTGCACATACAACATCAATTTCCCATGATTCTGTGCCTAAAATGCCTCTCTTTCCAGGCCTGCCCAAATGCAATCATTTCCCAGATAGTTCAGAATAAGTTCTCATGGGGCTTCCCTGTCAGTCCTTCCCTGTCTGCCAGGGGACCTTTCTGCATGTATAGTCAAATATGAATATAGATTACCTGCTTTCCAGGGAGTGAGTTAAGTTCAAGTCTTTCTAATCTGGCACAACCTGCCTTTCTAGATTCCTTTCTTATACCCGTCTGCTTCCTGGCCCGGATTCACCTGGATATTCATTTATCTACTAAAAAATCTTTTAAATATACTATGTATTTACACATTGAACTAGTTCATATTTCAGTTCTCATTACTGAATGCACAACTTCTCCCTTCCAGAAGTAACAATAATTTCTTCTGTGCCCTCTCATGGCACTTTTGTATTTTCTTTTGCTATCACTCCTACTGCATTGTGGTTCATGTTCTACATGAGCCTCTCTCAGACTAGATTGTGAATTTCTCAAGAGAGGGGATTGGCTTTAGTAAGGACCCCATTCCCATGCGTGGAAGAACGGACTTTGAAATGTATACAGGTTCTCAAGGGATCATCACTGTGTCAGGCGGACAGAGCACCTCAAGGATGAAAGTCAAGCAAAAGAGCTTTGCTGCCAATATTTTCATGAGAGCTAGGGATTAAAATTTGTGAGAAACATGGGATTCCTCTGAAAATTCACAGAATGAGAAGTGGCACTATGACCTGGGAATTGCTATTTATTCTCATTAGACCCAAGACATTTGTTATCAATCTCTGGTGTTCATGACTTTTCAGTGAGAACTATTACTGGAGTTGCCACTTTCTGTTCAGTTCGGCATTGGGTGAACTAGATAGCATCGACATAAGGATGTTAAGTTATATACACACCCCCTCAAAACCATAATCTTACTTGCATTTACTACAACAGAAGTAGAACAAGGAACCAGACACATCAATAATTAAATGCTAGAGTAGGTGAGACAGAATATGCGTGAGTAAGAAACCTGGAGTGAGAAAAAGTCACTAGGACCTGGAGAAGTAAGGAAAAGTCTCACTATGAAGCATTTTTAAAATTTGCTCTTAAAAAATTGATGAGAGGCTAGGGTAAGGCTCAGTGGGAAGGGACTTGCTTAGCGTACACAGGGCCCTGGGTTCCAGCTCCAGTAACAGAAAAACAAAACAAAGTAGCTGCTCAAAAGGAAAGAACAACTGGGATGGGGAAAGGAGAAAAGAAGGAAGGCCAAAAAAAAAAGTACATATATGCACACACACACACACACAAGATAGCTAAGATTGTAGTATTAATTGTAGTATTAATTTCTATTAGTTCATTGAAAGGAACAGTTAGTGCTTATATTGTTTAATCCATTTTGCATGCCTACATCTGGTAATCTGAGCAACTACTTTGAAAATAACAATATGCAATATAACAACTATTGTTACTGCCCTATCATCTTGTTTTGAAATTCTGTATTGTTTTTATTGTTTTTTTCTCTTTAAAATAAAAACAAACAAACAAAAAACCCAAAGCAAAACAGCGTTTATAAGAATTCAATCTGAAGGAAAACATGGGTCAGTTGATAAGAATATTGGATTTCCGTGTCATGTAAGCCAAAATTCAGTTGATAATTTTAGCCAATTACCTAGACTGTTCACTTTCAGGAATTTGAAGCTATTTTGTTGTATTTTGTTTTTCTCCCACAGGTGGGTCTGATATTGAGTATCTGGACTTCTACAAGCCTGTCGTGTGGTTCTGGATCCTCGTAGGGCTGGCGTACTTTGCTGCTGTGCTGAGCATGATTGGTGACTGGCTCCGTGTGATATCTAAAAAGACCAAGGAAGAGGTGAGAGTTAAGAAATGTGCGAAACATTTGTGGTTAGCTAATTCAGTAAAGATTTTTAAAATGTTTTTGAAAAAGTTCACATTTTCCATTATGAAACATTATTTGAAATGTTTAATATTTGCATTTGGGCTGAAGTTACTGTCTGACACAATGAGAAAATGTACCATGTGGGTTTTACCTCATTCACTTAGAAAATATTTACTAAAAACTTTTTAGGTGCTAATGCTCAGTTAGGTGCCAGGTACTGAGGTTAATCTGTAGTGCAAAAAAGATCTAACTTAAAATATTTTTTTCATGATTTAGCTTTTCTCAACAACAAAAAGTGAATTTTATCATGTAAAAATAAGAGAAAATATTTGTATCACAGTATTGTAGTATGAAACAATGGATGTTTTTATCTAATGTGGATTTCTTTGTGTGTTTGACTATTCCTTTATGTCCATGTTAATGTGTTTGTACACACACACACACACACTCTCTCTCTCTTTCTCTCTCTCTCTCTCTCCAAGAACAGGTACATCATGACCTCAGAAAAATGTCCTTTTACTTTTTCTGTACAAGTCTACATAGAGAGATAAATGATGGGATTTTGATAAATGAAATTTTAGAAAATTGGAAATTTCAATATTGATTTTGAATTTTCACTCTTTAGAAAATTAAATTTTGATTTCGTGCTATATGCTCAGAAGTTCTATTAGTTTGAGTGTGGCACAGCTGGGTTTTTTAATGAATTCTGTGCTCTTTGCTTCTGAGTCTTAGCTTTGCTGTTTACTTAAGAAAACAGCAAAACTATAAAAATCTGTACCATCCATATGCGCATTATCTTCTTTTAATTGTCTGCTCCATTTCATTATCTGCTGTTCACAGACCATGAGAGATCTTTGTTGAACTTTTGATTGCTACAAGCACAGGATCTTTAAACATATAATGAAAAGAAATGGAATAAGATATCCCTTTCTCACCACAAATACTTTCTTTGAATCTTGTCAAGTCATACAATGTTTTATTGATGCCAAGATGCCTAAGGTGACCTACAGGAGAGCCAGGGATCAGCCTTCCTTCTGTGGGTGTGGTGTCCTTGACTGGAAGTTCACATACTTGGTCTCTGTACGTGTAAATCTGTACCTGAGTCACATAATATAAACATCTTTTTACTGTGTGCAAGTCAACAAAACACTGTGCCTAATATACTAAGTTCAATGTGTGAAAAGTCTTTGGAGCAGGATCTGATTGGGTGGGATTCACCTCAGTCTTAGGCTCCGTGTGTGTGTGTGTGTGTGTGTGTGTGTGTGTGTGTGTGTGTGAGAGAGAGAGAGAGAGAGAGAGAGAGAGAGAGAGAGAGAGAGAGAGGAGGGAAGGAGGGAGTGAGAAAGACTGAAAAGAGAGAGAGAGATTTCTTCAACTTTATGTGTACTTTTAAGGATCTTGGTGTGGTAGGGGCAAAAGGAAATTGTAGCTATGAAATGTTCTGGATACCACAAGTAAGAAGAAGTACTGCTCAAACATCCAGCCATAAACTGGTTTTCAAATCAGTTTAAAGCACACACATGTGCACACACTCACACACTCATGCATTTTTTTTCCTAAAATAGATTTGAGAGAACACATCTCCTATAGCTCATTAATTAGGAAAATTAGTATTAGTCTGATCATTAGGAAAAGTATGCATATACTTAAATATAAATATACAGGATATTTTTATATACATATGTGCAAACTGATATTGTGGATCACAGTCATAAAGTTTGAAAACCACTAAATTGCAGGGGGAGATTTGATATCTTGATGACATTGATGAAACTGATAATAGAATATTTGATTGAATTTTAAAAATTAGAACTAGAAAAACTACTTTTCATAATGAAATAAACTGGCATAAAGCATTATTAGCGCTCTTTCCAGGGTTTCAGTGAGGGAACCAACTCAGCAGTCTGCTCAGCTGTTAGAAAATGCCACAGGCTTGCGACCTAAGCGACTTGTTTGCCTTCCCAAGTGTCTGGAAGCGATGAAGTCTAAGGCGATGCCTGCAGGGTTGGTTTCTGGTGGGTCCTGCCTCCTTGGCCTGCTGCTGGTACCTCCTCACTGTGGCCCATGAGGCCTTTCTTCTGTGCCTGAGCGTGGGTGGGGAGAGGTGTGGTGACGCCAAACATTCTTTGAAGGACCCCGGTGTTATTCCATTAGGACCTCACTCAGTTATCTTCTTAAAGCCCCCCTCTTCAAATATGGACACAGCAGAGGTTACAGCTTCTAAATACGTATTTTGAGAGGACACAGTTCAGACCATGACATTATCCTTTCAAGTGAATTTATGTGTCTACATGGCTGGTATGTTACATATGTAAAGTGAGGATGTGTGCCTATCTACGAGGGATCGTCATGGTTTTCAGTTGGAAGTGTGAGTGTTTTCGTGCTAATGAAACATACAGGATTTGTCCTCACCACAGATCACTTGGCTTCCACCTTGTGTTTCTGAGTAATGTGTCCTTCCTGGTACTTAGATCTGTAGAAAGCACATGTAAGGAGAGGCCGCGACCATAAGTTTATGTGCAGCCCCTGAAGCTGCAGCTGCTCCAGAGAGCTGAGCCGGTAGAAGAGCGTTCTATTTAAGCAGAGGTATATTTTCTGATTTATAATGCAATTTGCAGACATGCAGAGTAAGGTCACAAATCCAACAGAGAATGTGAACAAAGGAAGGGAAAAGTAACTTATAATTTATTTGAAGATGATCATGAATGAAGATTTTATAAATGAAATAGTACTCCAATTTCTGTAGCAATGGAAAGAGGACATGAGTGTTTTAAATAATGCACTAAAATCCATAATTAAATTAAAACCAGCTAAATCTGTTTTTGCTGTCATCCTCAAGCAGAGGAACCAGCAGTGACTAGGTGACTATTTAATATGAATTATTTACCTTCCACGTCTCAGCCATTGCAAATTTTCCAACATTTAAAAGCTTCCCAAATCTTCAAGCCAATAGGGCCTTTCTCCCTCTTCCTTCCCTTCCTTTCTTTGTGGGGCTGGGGATGGAACCCAGGGCCTGGCTCATACAAAGAAACGTGCTCCAACACTGACTGTCACCCCAAGGCTCCGACGTTTCTTTTTCTAGTTTTTAGTTTTCCTGAAATAAAATTGCTGAATATCATTAGTAATAGAAACCTCTCCATAAAAACATAACTCATACAGGTTATGAAAATATGGAATAAAATACAGAATTAGATTCCTATGCTAAGCATATATATTTCCTGAAGGAATAGATTTTAGTTAGTTATAAAGCCAAGCCTTGCATTCTTTTTTTTTTTTCAAAAATAAATCTGTTTCAACCACATTGGTTAGATCTAAACATATAGAGCTTACCATATATGACCCTATTTCATTTTTGAATGAAAAAACATCTGCTGTTTCCAATGAAGAATAATTTTAATGAAGTTATTGTGTGTGGAAGTAAGGAAAAATGTTGTTTTCCATCACCACACTGAAATAAAACATATTGGTGTGTCTAATCTATCTGAGAGATTTGAAGAAGTAGCAATTAGTTGAAACAGTGCTACATGGATTCAGAAGAGCCAGATATAATTAGAGTTGATCTGTATTCCTTTAGGAAGGCAATAAAATGAACTCTGTTATTCTTTTTTTTGCTGGAGACATATGCATTTCTGAAAAGTGTTTGTTCCATTTTTAAGCTGTAATGGACACTAGGCATATGTTTTGCAATAAAGATTGCTATGACTAATTCCTTTTCTAGGAACCCCTTCCTGTTTGAGGAAATGATGTTTCCATGTATAAAATAAAGCTTACTTAAGTATTCAGCATAGTGCAGTGTAGCTCTACCTGAGGCAGGTGTAACAGAAGTAAGATGTGACCACAGCACTCAGAAGGTGAGCTCTGTGATGGCTGTGGAGGCGGACAGGAAAGCCAGCATTCTCTTTCTGCAGATGCAGTTACTGTCTGTACGTGTTTCTTGTGCGTGATAGCTATGTTTTCTGTGTACGTCTTGGATTATTATTAGCGTACCCCAGATTCTAAAATGCCCCCGTGTCTCTGTGGTATAAACACCAGCATGGCTGCCACCATGACCTGCAGGGTGACCAGCCACAGTGAACGGATGACCAGGCAGCACTTCCTTGCAATATGATTTCTTTAGTCTGGACATGGTTATGCAGTTAGGAACACTCACTTTAATGAGTTGGCTTTATATTAAGAAAACACTCTTCATCTAGTGCTGAAAAGCTTTGGACGGCTCATCATTCAACAAGTCCTATTATTCTGAAGGGGCCAAAAATATGGAGGGACATTACCTTCCTCATTGGATTTCCTGATGGCAGCATTGGTTTCTTCTCAACTTCACTCTGGGCAGCAGTGACCTTTATAGGGCTTGGAGGCCCTTTGTCTTGGCCAAAAATAAGCAATTAAAGGATAGTTGTAGACTGGGTCCTGGAAATTTTGCAATAGAGCACTTTATCATTTCTTATAGGAGTGCTTTTAATATGAAGAGTTTTATATGTTATTTTCTTAAAACCTTAGACTTTATTCTGAAAGCCTCAGGGAGCCATTGAAGGATTTTAAGCAAGTGGAAGGAATGCTTTTGGCAACACTGGGAAAGACAGGCAAGAAGCAAACGGAGCTGGATGCAGAGAAATGAGTTGGGAGGGAGAGAGATGAAAACATAAATTAAAAAATATGAGGGATAGGAAAATGGAATTTGGTAACTCATGATCTGAAGGCATAAAAGACAGAGTGACATCTGTGATTCTAACCTTGAGTGGAATTACCCAACCCAGGAATGAACCCAGGAAGAGAGGTTTGGAGTAGCTGGGGTGAATCGGGTGCTTTTGTTGTGATCATGCGCCTGGCAGCTGTGTTGGACATCAGGCAATTAATGCAATTTCACGTACATTGGAATGTGGGAAAAATGGAAACAGGAAGATAGTTGGTGGTCATCACTTCACAAATGATAATGGACATTGGGAGCATAGATGAGCTCGCCTAATGAAGACTTA